GAACAAATTCAAAAGAGGGAGGACACGTGTGAGGCAAAAAGTTGATAGGTTAACAAAATAATAATTAAACAGAGGCTTACAGGTTTAGGGCTGTGATTGTAGAAGGCTGTACACAACAGGATTTGGGGGCAGGTAGAGTGAGAGTGCAGATGGGGTCATTGGAGGTGTTAGGCAGGGTTTGTGCTACTGTTACGTAAGTTACAATGTGAATTTCATCATCGTGGTATGTATAAGGGTGTGTTTGTGTATGTTCCTGCATATATGTGTGCATACAAGAGCCCTCCAAATGTTTCCATATACATAACTTGGGAACAGAGGCTACCCTTTAACAGTGGGGATGCAGAACATTATTAATTGCTACTGTGAAAGGGAACAGGAGCGCATTGGATTTTTGCTGTCAGTCCCATGATTAACTAACTTCTGTTCTCTAAACATAATCACAAAGTAAGTTGCAGACAAGTTTCAGTGACTTAATAGCTGCTGAGAAGACAGCATGCCTAAGCTTGCAAGGGAATGAACTTTGCTGGAGAGAATGCAGCTGGAATTTGTAGCTGCAGCAAGCCACTTGGGAAACTTGTCCCAGCTTGATTGAAAATTGCTTCCCCTGTTAGGGGGGAGGAGGTTTTTCTTTGCTGTTAGCTTTTTTTCTCCTCCCCATCTCATGCTGCTTACTCACCAGCTGAACCCTGATGAGATTTTAGAAAGAGAAGAAGTCCCAAGGAAGAAATTTCTTCATGGTATTTAAAACATAAAAGGATAAGGAGGAGATGCTGTTACTAATACGATGAGATAAACTTATTGCATTCTTAGTGTCAAGGTCCATTTTAACATTGTTTATAAAATTAAATCAGGTTTTATGATCAGATCAGAAACCAATGTTACGTAGAAGAGAAAAATTATTCCTCCCCTGTTTATCTTATGTCTTTTTTTATTCTCTGAATATCTTGAAGCACTGCCATAAGTTTGCTCGTCTGGAACTTGAATACTTACAATATATTTATGTTGCTTTTAAAAAGTCAAAAATTTATCCCAAATGTCATCTAGCATAAATTGATGCTAAGTATGAATTTGAAGAAAAAAAATGTCACCTACATATTTTATCACCGATCGAATTTTTATTACATATGACATACTTGAGCAGCTTCATTCACCCAGCCGAAGCCATTTGAGCTGACCTTTTCCTCAGCAGATGCTGTTTGAACAGAATATTGTTCTGCTGTTAATTGTTTCGGACATACTGTGTGAAAAATCTTCAGGGAGTTGAATTTTGTTGTCTGGGGTTCACAGTACATAATTTTGCTTGTATGTTTACTGCTGGTCTGTCAAAGAATATGAAGGAATAAATTTCTCCTACAGATCAACTAATCATGAAAATAGTGTTGAGGTGTTTGATTGACATAGTGAAGCTGTTAATTTAGAGTGTATCAAGATCAAATGGAAGTTATTGCAATTAGGAAGTGATTGTGTTCTCACTTGAATTTTTTAAATGATGCATTTTAGATTTTTATGCATTTTTATGCTGTCTCATGGATGTATTAGGGAATTTCTGTGGTCTGTTACATGTAGATACTTAATGTTCAACACAATTTCAGTTCAAATTTTACATTTCTTATAATAGCTGCTATTTAATTGATTGGGGAGAGTCACTGCACATGTAATGTTTCTGCACTCTAAAGGGCTTTGGGGAACAAAGGATTCAGCCAGTCTGAGGTTTTGTTGGGTTTTTTTTGTTTGTATTATGGTATCAGGCTAAAATTTTCCTGTTTATTTCTTTGAGAATGGCTCCTTTGTGACATGCTTAGAGGCTCCTGATATTGTTTTATTCCAAGGATTGTATGTCTGAAATTGTATTCAATATATCATATACAGTAAGACCTTTGGTACCATTGTGTGGCACGAATGTTAGAGTCGGTACTTTCATGTGCATAGTCCTTGAATCTTCATGGTTCAGTTATTCTTGAAACCCACATTTTTCTCCTAAATATTCTTAGAAAAAAATGTGGGATATCAGAAAGAAATGTTTGTTCTCTCTATCTCTTTCTCTTTTTAAAATCCACATTCAGGCATATGGTACTGACAGATGACACAGATTCTAGAGAGCAAAAGGCTTCTTGTGTCCCTAAAACTGCAGGCACAGGTATGGTGGTGGAACAAGCTGGCATAGTTGAAAAAAGGTGTGGGTACCTGATGGAGTCACTAAAGCCACTTAGCTTTAGCGCAGTAATGGTAAACTTTTTCCTCTGGATGAGTCAAGCAATTTTTTCATGGCTTCAGTACTTCTGTTCCAGTGCTGACGCTGCTGTTTCTCATTTTTTCATGAGCATCATCTACTCAATCATGTGCAGCTGCTAAGGAGTATTTTACTCCTGGGTTAGACCTTAAGTTTCACCTGCACACTCAGGTGTCTGTAGCCTCGTATTAGCTTATTTCCTTATTCAAGACTGTAGAAAACGAGCAAGCAGAAGCCTCATATTAAGAACAGTGCTGAGCTGATAATGCAGCTCTTCTGTCTTGCTGAAGAGAAGTAGTGTAGGGGCCATTAGCCAAGCCCTTGGGGATGCTCACTGAGACGCTCTCTCCAATTGACCCTTTGGCATATGGAAGTGTACCCTATGGGGACAGACTGTGCAGGGAAGCAGTTTATTTCTGTGACCTGGAAGGGAGATTGCTCTGGCTAAAGTTCTGGCAGGTTTTCTAGAAGATTAGAAAGTATTGGGGAGGGGTAGCATTGATTGTCAACGTATGGTAACAGTAGTAAAGAAAAATCCATTAAGTTTATGTGCTTCCTTGGATTATCGATACATCCTACCTTTGCTTTATCTCCCATTTGCAAGCTTTTATCCACACTACTATTTATTAGGGAATACAGTCAGTGTTACAGAAACTGAAAGGTAATGTGCATCTCTTTCAAATTGTTTTATTCTGCAGCCGCCTGACAAAAGATGCATTGAAATATATGCTCTAACGAGTGCTTCTGTGGCCCAGGCAGGGAGATTAAGGTTGTAGTTTCCACAAGATTTAGGAAATAATTAGTATATCCAGTATTTTTTCCATGGACGCAGTGCACCTTTCCGTTCCTGACAGCTGGCACAGATGATGCTGTTTTGCGTGGCCAAGAGGTGTATTTGTATGATGGGGTTGGTAAGTGTGCCAGTTGTGCTGTGGCACTCGGATAGGGGGTGTTAATTTTTTTTTTTTTTTTTTTAAATTGATGAGGCATTATTCTTTGCTCTAAACAAAAGATGGATAGTGATGAACAAAGAGTGTCTAGTGCAAGGGAAAGGGCTGGTGAACTCATTAAGCTTCATGCTTTTAACCAAGTGGGAAAAGATAGAGCTCCTGTTTTTCTTCCATCGTCTGTTCTGGTTCTCTCAGCAGTCTGACTGCCTTCCCATGTGACATTTTCACATTGCATTTCTAGGTCAACAGTGACACAACTAGCATGCTTATGCCCAAATTGATCCTCTCAGTCTGCTGTACTCCACATGGCTTTCCCATCTATCTTTTTGCCATAGTCTGTGTTTGGATTTCAGCAGAGCCTGTCAGCTTTGCATTTCCTTGGGTCTTAAGAAACAGGGACATCTCAGCAGGTGCACGTTACCTTTTCCTGTGTCTTGTCCTGCTCCAGGTATCTGGGAGTAGGAGAAAAATAGGAGGGGCGAGCTTTGCGAGTAGATGAGATTGCCAAGTGAAGAGTAGGTAGAAAATCAGTGTCAGTAAGGGAGGTGATGTATTTGCTACGGTTTTTAAAAAAAAAATTGGCCAGATGCATTCTTCCAGAGAAGAACTGCTGACTGTTGGACATTAGTGTGCACCTTCTGAGGGACGTTCTCTTACTCTTTAGAGAAAACAAACAGCACACCTTGAGTTCAAGAGCATCTTTCTGGAGGCCAGATTTTTTTATTCAATTGATAAAGTTATGACAGATGTATATAAACACTTTGTTATAAACAAAGCAGTTATAAACACTTTGTTACAACAGAAAGATCGTCAGAGACAAGTGTACAGTGTCTCCTGCAGGGGACAGGGGTGGTGAATAGTCCAATCCCTCCCAGTCCTCGTTTTGGCAGCAGCCTCTTGCGCATAAGCACAGCAGGGCCTGACAGTGTTCTTCCCTGGATGCTGTGTCTGTGCCTGCTGCCCACACCAGTGCTGTTGCTCTGTGGGGTCACCCCAGGGACCCCACTTCCAGCCTGCCACCACCCAGAGCTTGTCAGGAGGCAGAGTGAGAGGCCTGTCTCCTGTGCCTGCATGGCTTTCGGGTCCAAAGAAGGGTGTTGCTGAGCAGCTCCTTGCCAGGCACGCTGGCAGGTCTGGGACTATAATTTCAGGTGTTCAAAACCTGGGATTGTCCCAGTCAAGCTGAAACTGGGTGTGAAGGGCAGCAAAGAACTAAAGATGTGGGTAAGAAGACAGAGGTGAAGAGCAGAGCTGGGACAGACAGAAAAATTGGCACTCAGAACTGGATTTGATGCTAAGACTGGCAGTAGCAGAGTGATGTGCCTTTGCAGATCTCAGCTGTGTCATTTTCTGTTTTTCCTAACACAGTTAGCTGTAGATGAAGTGAGGTGAATGAGTAATTTTTTACTTTAATTTTCTCACTCTTAGTTTCTCCCCATGACTGTGAAACTACCATAGATGATGATGAAATTAAAAAATCCTGTAGGTTTCCAAGTATGAAGATATTTCTGATATAGTTCTCTTTTGGCTAATATGTAGAAGCTTATATGTGAGATATTAATGGCCCATTCAGTAATGACACGATTGAATTATTTTACTTGACAGAGAAGCACTTAGGCACAAACATAAGGTATTTCTGAATCTAGGCATCAGCTGGAGGTGATAGAAAATACACTATTTGTGCATGTTTCTTCAAATAATTACTGTGGAAAATATTGTGGCACTAGTTAAAAGCAGGGTTTTTTAATGCTAATAGCTGAGGGAAGAGAATTCCCAGAGAGAAAGGCTCTTCTATAATCCCATGTTCATCTTCCTGACAGAAAGCAGAGGAGGAGGAGCTTGTTCTCACACCTGATGGCACCAGGGAATTCCTAACATTTGAAGTTCCACTGAATGATTCTGGGTCAGCTGGACTTGGTGTGAGTGTCAAAGGTAACCGGTCAAAAGAAAACCATGCCGATTTAGGAATCTTCGTCAAGTCCATTATTAATGGTGGAGCAGCATCCAAGGTGAGAGGGAACATTTGTGTACCATTGCTTTCTCAGTTTTCCATAATAAAGCTGTTTTGAAAATAACCACAGGTTTGAGAATAATGAGATTGCCCTGTATCTAGCTTATTCTAATTGCACCATCAGAGGTAACATTTAGATTTCTACTCAGATTCACATGTCTGTGCCTCCCAGGATTTAAAAAACCTTTACAGATCCTCAGGAAGGATACGAGCACTCTCTGGTACAGTTCAATTAGTATGCAGTTTGTACAAACAGGTTATGATAATGGCTTGCAGTGCAAATCCATAATTATAATGGACATTTCCTACAATGACTATTGCTGTTATACCAGTGTTCATTTGTCCATAAACTATAAAGAATAAGCATAGTTGTTTGATTATTTTTCATCTGGTTTGGTTTTTTTTTCCCCCTCTCTCCAGCAAACTAAACTTCCTTTGTGCATTTTATGTAACTTGCTCTAATCTTTCCTTTTCCAGGATGGCAGGCTTCGAGTGAACGATCAACTAATAGCGGTAAATGGAGAATCATTACTGGGCAAAACAAATCAAGATGCTATGGAAACCTTAAGGCGGTCAATGTCCACTGAAGGAAACAAACGGGGGATGATCCAGCTCATTGTGGCGAGGCGAATAAGTAAATGCAATGAGGTATTACACTTTTGTTATCGGGACTGAGAGTTTTTGCTTCTAAGGTATTTCTGTTTATAGGAGATGTCATGTTTCCTCTGAGACCTGGAAATAATAATTGAGAAGCTAAAGAAAGAGGGAATTACCAAATCATCTGGATTTCAGTGTTAGACATACTAACCTTATTACCGATCAATAAAGATTTTCTTTTGAGTATTTTCATCAATGAATAACAGGAAGCAGTGAATAAAACTAAATTGATTTTGTAATTGGATCCCACTGTTTACTTTGGAGTTTTTTATGTAGGTCTATTGAATCTTTCATTTATAGACTTGGTGTTAACTGACTTTCTTCTTTGGCGCTTTCAGGTTTTTGAGTGAAGCTCTTAGATTTAATTACTGTATTTTATCTAAGCAATTAAAAGTTCCATGTAAAGATTCTGCATAACTTGGTGCAAATAATGTTGTTATTTTGGATTTTAAATATGTTGTGTCTTGGCCTTTATTGCAGGGAAGTAGGAAATACTGAATTCAGGGTGAAGTAGTGGTTCTTTTTCTGATGTTATTTGAAACTTCTGTCTCGCCCAGTGCAATGTTAATGTGTTGATGTTTTGGAACATGTTCATGGTTTCTAATAGTTTATCTTCTAGATTAATGTAAATAATGCTATATAGTAGGAATATGTGGGCAGATGATACTGAGAGGACTGCGGATGCTGTGGAGGACTGAATTAGACTTCAAAATGATTTTGACAAATTGGGGAAGTGCTCTGAGTTAAACAGGGTGCAGTCGGATGGCGGGTCAGGGAAGCATCTGTTCTTAAAACATCTAAAAGTCACTCTCTCGTTCTTGTTAACACCAGTAAGGTCTTATCAGGAATGTTATTTCTTGAGCATCATGCTTCAAAAATGATGTGCACAAATTGGTTTAGTACTGCTGACCTTGCCTAGGGGAAAAAAGGAATGGTTTGGTTTTCAATGCATAAAATTGATCTTTAAAAAATTCCAGTCCTTAGTGTACTATAAAATCACAGTTGAAAAAGACACTAGCCTCTCTAAAAGTATTAAACTCCTGTTGATTAACTGCTTATACACAGCTTCAATACACATACGTTTCTAGCTACACGTTGGTATAAAGCCAGCTTGGATGCTCGTGGTTTCTCACTTGGTGTTGAAGGAATTCTGACCTTTTTATGTTTGGTGATGTCCTGGTCTAGCCTTCGTTCTGGACTTGGACTCCAGACTGTCCTTCAGAGACAGGACAGTATGTCAGTTTTCCTGGCTTCAAGTCCAGTAATTGTTTTGCATTTGCAAAATCAAACTGAGTTCTTCTGAGATAGACAGGCAAAACAGTCTGCTTTTCTCTTCAGTAAAATTGAGTTTGAATTGGATTTTAAGAAAGTTAGTAGTATGAATATGGTTCTGTTGGTTTTAATATTCATTTTCATAATCAGTCCTGAGAACTGGAGAGGAAGGAGAGGTGGAGAAGTCGTTTGACAGCATGATTCTGCGGAGTGCCATTTCTGTGTGTTTCAGTTCAGGGCAGAGTTTTCATGTGCTTTTTGTGTTTGGCTGCTGTTTAGAAGAGAGGACAGCTCAGCCCCCGTTGTCCTGGTTAAGAGAGGCAGGGACAGTTGCCTGCCATCTGCTGCAGAGGGGATGTTTCTTTGTCAGAAAGCTTTCTTAGGCTTCAAATTGAATGTCTACTGAACTTGAGCATGAAATTTTTTCAAACCTTTGTGACAACCTCTGGTACTCTTCTTTCATGCCAGCATTATTCTCATACAGATTTGCCCATTGTCACATTGTAGACTAAGCCTCCAAAGCAATTACAGTAACAATAAAAATGTACATAAACACCATGAGTACTGTTTTGTCTTCAGAGAGGTAGTGAGATCATTTACATAATCAGTGCTTATATAACTGTAAACTCAAAAGAGACCACAAACTTCCCAGAAGGTAAAAACCATTTTTATGCTGTTGTGGTTTTAGTGAACTGAGGAGTTGCCTGTAGAAAAGAAATTTTCATTCACTCACCAGGAGATAGAGTATAATCCATACAGGTTTTCAAGTGAATTATCGTGTAGTAAATATTGATGTGAGCATGGAGTGAGTGGTAGTTATGAATGAACTCCAAGACAAAACTGTGTATCTCAGTTTTTCTCCTGCTTGTATTACATCTATGCAGAGTATGGTAATATAGTTGATTCTGTAAACTGTGCTACCACAAACCTTGCAAGGCTTTGTTTAATATCTCAGCCACTCCAGACAAAAGCACACAGTGAATGTTTGATGGATGCGGTTAGATTAGTGTAACAAAAACATTTAGTTTGGGATTTGGATATATCTAAGGCTGCCTTCCCCCCGTTTCAAAAGTGTGAAATATGCTATTCTAATCTGTTTTCAACTTTCATCCTTGCCCTCTGTGAGCAGCATTGTGTGTTGACTCTTCAACTTCCCCATATAAGCACAGAGAGACTTTTAAGTACGTTTCCAAAGTTGTGCAGGCAGTGGCAAAAATGGGAAGAATAATGGTATTGAGTTAATATTTATACATGCCCAGTATTTAACACCTCAGTTTTCAGAAGACATGGTCATCGGCCTTTTAGATCTTTCAGCTGGGGACTGACATTTTTTCAAATTACTAAGATTTAAGGAGAAACACTGGAGGTTCTTGCACCATGTTCTGTGAATTAGTGATATTATTGTGATTAGCCTGTATGGGCAAACAGCTGCTGGCTGTATTGCCATCACACATATACAGTGCTTAGGCAGGACTGCCAGGCAGATCCGTGCAGCTGGCAGCAAAATGTGCTGATTCAAGAAAATAAAAGTGTTACTTTTGGAATCCTGCTCTTTTCAGTCCTGCAACCTGGACAGCTTAGAGTTGCAGGTTGCTGGTCTGCACTCTGTTCATGTCACATACAGGTAGCATTGCCTGCCATTGAGAAGAAAGAGCACCACTATTTTCCTCAAAATACATGTTTTCAGTTTTTTTTTTTTATTGTCTGATTCCCATTTTTGACAGAATTAATGCCTTGCCAAATCTGCCTGGAATGAAGGTTTGCATATGATTTGCAGATCCCCAGATTTCTTTCTGCATGCCTCTTCATCTTCGCTCTAGTTGAAAATGGAGCAAACCATGAAGCAGAGAAACAGTCATGAATCCGGATCATATAAGGACTCATCGGCTTTTTAAGTAAATTGACTGGTAGACAGGATCAGTGAGAGAGACTTTGCAAATGTGTGATTTCATTATAAAAGAAAGGAAACAAGAAAACGTATTTTTTTCCTCTGGTATGCGTGGAAGTATAAAACATTCAACATCATTTTTCCCTGCATGCACTACCTACTTTGAAATTGCTGTGACAGGTTTAATTTTTTTCTTTTCTTGCTAGATCAGTTTTGTGATGACCTTCTGGAATTCATTTAACTATCAAAAAGGCATCTTCTCCAAATACAAGGATTTCACTCTTCAATCCTTTCTCCAAGGCATTGCAAAGCTCTTCCCAGCTTTGATCCCTAGGGGAACTTAAGGCTGACTCTTCTCCATCCTGAAGATTGATCTTTGTGTCCAGTCCTTTAGCCAGATTTCAACCCAGAAAATGAAAACTTGGTGCAGTCCCAAGAAATCTTTGTTTCTTTAACTCCTTTGATATGAAGACTTTGTAAAAGGCTTTTTGAAAATGTAAATACATCGTGTCTGTTTCATTGCCTGAGAGCTCAGAGTCACCTTTGTGCAACTCCAGCCTCCCAGCAAGGCAGGATTTCCCCATGGATGTCTGCCTTCCCCATAGACCCATGTCGGTTGTGCTCAGTGATCTTATTCTTTATTGTAGATGCCGCCATTTTATCCGGAAGGCCAGAGGCCTGGTCTGTAGTTCCCAAGATCCCCTCTAGGTATGCAGGCAACCATCAGTCCTCTGACACCATGGCCGTTCATAACAGTATGCTGAACGTTTTGGCCAGCAGTTACGCAGTGCCATGTTTGAGTTTCTTCGGGGCCTTTGGGAGAGTGCCATCCAACCTGGGTGACTTGTTAACTTCTCACCTACCCATTTGGTCTAATGCTCCTGTGTGTTTTCCTCTGGCTGATCCCACTCCTCTCCTTATTTGCTACAAAGAATGGGGTCAGGTGTGGAAATCTTCCTATCTTCAGCAGCAAAGACTTACCCAAAGGAGTCATTGAGCTTCCCCACTGCAAACTTGCCCCTCAGTGCCCCTTTCTCTCTTGCCATCAGGGGTTCCAACCGATTCCCTGTGCACCTTCTTATGTCTGATATCCTTGGTGAACATTTAGCCTCCAGTCTGAGCATTCTCTGAAGGGTGCTGCTTTAATTCTTCCTTCTTCCTCTCAGTGTCTTGGGCCAATAGTGGTGAGGGCTTTTTTTAATTGTGGCACATTTTCCTGAGCTTCTAATACAGGACTTGTGAATGGTCTCCTTTTAGGCCTCTGGTGGTCTTTCTGCTGCATGATTTTCAGTGTACGTAGGTAAACTTCTAGTGGTAAACTTCACAAGAAATATTTTAAAAATTAGTTGTTGGGAAAGTATGTACATGGTTATCTATTTTATGGTATCTTGTGTCTTCTGTTTTGCCCTTCTTCCTGTCCCCATTTATTTTAGCGTACTTTTTTCTCCTTTATCTCCTTGATATTAACTTACAAGCTCCATCTTGGCCCAGGTTCCTCCCCATACCCCATAAACCACTATCTAACTACATTTTATAAAGCCAGAGAGACCTTATAGCACTTTCCTGTACCTGAAGGGGCCTACAAGGAAGCTGGAGGGGACTTTTTACAAGGGCCTGTAGTGACAGGACAGGGGGGAATGGATTTAAATTAAAAGTGGGGGGGTTTACATTGGATATAGGGGGGTTTTACATTGGATATCAGGAAGAAAAGATTCACAGGGTGGGTGTTGAAGCACTGGAACAGGTTGCCCAGAGATGTTGTGGATGCCCCATCCCTGGATGTCTTCAAGGCCAGGCTGGATGAGGCTTTGAGCAACCTGGTCTAGTGCAAGGTGTCCCTGCCCATGGCAGGGGGGGTGGAACTAGATGGTCTTTAAGGTCCCTTCCAACCCAAACCATTCTATGATTCTGTGCAGGTTTCCTCCCACCATTCTGAAAGCAGTTTTTCCCTTCTCCTTGCCTTTTAACACTGTCAGAAAAAGAATGCAGAACTTCTTAGAAATGCTGTAGAAATTTTACGTTTAGTGTGCATGATTGTGTGTGTTAAGTCACACCTGACTATTTTACTGGCTGTTTACCTATGTTTTTGCATCTTGTAAAGTCTGTCCCTAAAGCAGGATCCCAAATCGGATGGTAGCAAAGAAAACCATATTTAATACTGGTAGTAATATTGTAAAAATATCTGTTGGAAAAGGAAGCTGAAGCATTTGGGGCATCTCATTCACAGTACACAGCTCAGAAATGAAAAAGAAAGCCTGGAGAATAATTCTGTGTAACAGAAAGAGCCACAATACCCTGTGAATGCAGTGTAATATTTAGCAAATTTGTGTACTGGCTGCTTTAAAATCCATACTGCTTGCATGCCAGTATTTGGATAATTGACTTTCTGAAGGAAAAAGGGAGTCTGATTATTGTTTCTTTTTAAAAAAAAAAAGTTTGTTTATGCTTTGAATATCTTGGCAATGTTCTTGTGCACAAACTTTTTTTCATATTTATGTGCATAACTTCAGATGGGATGGATAGTGGTGTTCAAGTAAAAAGGATGGCATTACTTTTCCTTTTATCATCTAGATAAGCAGCAGCTGGGCTAGTTAGTACAGACAGTGCTTTAGCTAACAGCTGGTTCTTATCTGAATGACAAAGGGCCAGGGTAGAGACCTTTCTTATTTAAAAAAAAAAAAAAGTCTTATTTCTATTTTTATTTTAAGAGAATGGAGAGAAAATGAGCTACAGGCAGTCTGTAGCATGAGAGGTTTAATTGCATTTTTACAAATATGATCATTTATTATAGATCAGTGCTAGGACCCATAGAGGGAACTCTCCTCAGCCTGGAGAGGAGAAGGTTTAGGGGGATCTTACCAGTGTCTGTAATAAACACCTGATGGGGAGAATAAAGAAGGTGAATCTAGACTTTTTTCAGGGCTGCCCACTTTCAGGACAAGAAGCAATGGGCACAAATTGAAATACAAGGTATTTCTTTAAACATGAGGCAAAATTTTTCTTCTGCGAGAGTGCCCAGCCACTGGCACAAATGTGCCCAGAGGGGTCGGGGAGTCTCTGTCCTGGAGGTATTCGAGCCTCAGCTGGACAAGGCACTGAGTAACCTGCTCTTGCTGACCTTGCTTTGAGCAAGAGGCTGGACTAGGTAGTCTGTCGTGGTTTTGTCTAACCTCAACTGGTCCACGACCGAGCTGTCTCACTGAGTAGTGCCCCTGCTAGGGGCAGCTACCGATAGGGAGTGTAGGGGTCAGCTGTGGCCTAGCTTGCTTTCCTTGCCAGGACTTAATTAAGGTCAGGAATTTGTATTACCTACTCTTGTTTATATTTTTTTGTTACCTACTCTTTATCAGTTAATCAAATTAAATTATACTGGGATACCACTGGTACCGGCAAAGGGAAGGAACTGGAATGTGTAATTCAAGCTCTTTATTAGAAATGCTTCAGGAGGAACAAATCTCTATTTGAACTGCAGTCTTGCTTTGGACTGTTGATCCCTTTGTCTTGCCCACAGCACAGCTTCCAAATGAAATGTATTTTTTCTTACACAAACTTCCTCTTAACAATGTAAGGAAAATACTTTCTTTTTTGGGGTGAAAGCCAGTCATGTGATTCCTGTCTAATTTTAGCTATTTTATAGAAGACAGTGCATTTTTTTATAAAATATTTGTGTAGTTGGTTGTCAGTGCCTTTGTTTAAAACTATCTTTGAGATGCTAATTAGAAATGGAAAAAGTTTTCCCTGTGAAAATGATGAAATACGTGATTCACTTTACAAAACCACATCCGTCTAAATACAACACTCCTGCTATTTCTTTTATTTACCCTGTTCTCTACTGCATTACTAGGACTGAATCTCTATGTATTTCTTTGATTCAGAGCTTTCTTGTCAGTATCTTTCTGAAAATCTCTGGAGACCTTCCTACAGATGAGTTTGAAAGTTGATGGGTTGTCAGATGAAGGAGGGAGGACTGTGTGATGTGGCTCACTAAAAGCTGGACACTGGTTACATAAAGTCATCAATATAGTAGTGGGAGAATAAATCCCAAAGCACTTTGATATTTTCACACCTTACTTAAAGGCAGTGAAATAAAGGTTAGTTCATCATTTAATGCCTTTATCATGCAAGTTTAAGCTCTCAAGCAGTCCAGTGTTTCTGTGCTTTTTATTCTTAGTGTTTCAGAATTTAACATTTTTATTCTTTTTGAATTTGCCTTAGATTCTTTTATAACAGAGGATGCAAATATTGTTTAATTTACTTTTCAGTAAAGCTGTCAGTTGTAATCTACAATTTAAAAAAACTAATAAAATCCTCATTTCACAGTTTAAACCTTATTGAGTCTAATTCACTTGCACTGCAAGTTTATTATTCTCCTGCAGCTTGACGTGCCTCCAATTGTAATTGTGTTGACCCTCCGATGCAGTAAATCTCCCCAGTGCTTATCAAACTGGGAAAGATAAGTCTACAATTTGGAACTTCATTAAATATCTCATTTATATTAAACAGATGATGGCTTTCAACAGAAATAATAATTTTTACAGACTCTGCGACCTCCTGATCGTGGTCTCCTCGACTTTGTAAAGCGGTGTTCCGCAAAGCTCCACCCCTCCATGTGCCGGGCGTTACGCCAGCGCCCGAGTGTCAGGAGTCGTTAGTCCATCGGGCTGACTTCAGAGCCTCTGCTGTGGAGACTGTAGCTGAGTGCTTTGTAGCCCTTGAAGCAGACTTTTTAAAATCTTTCATAGCGTACGTTTGTTAGTCATCTGAGGTTTGCGGGTAGCGTCATTAATAATGGGCAGCTGTTTAAAGAAGGAAAACCAACCAACAAACGCGTTGCTTGTTATTGTAATTCCTGAAACTACAAACTACTCCTCATGCTTGTTTAGACACCAGTCTTTGGAATAAGTGTTCCTGGTTCCCAGTGGCTTCAAAGAGTTTGCAGCGTTCTCAGTATCTTGTAGTATCTGGTCTCTGCTGTATGTCAGTACATATAAAATACATGACGTGGGATTTGTGTAAGGACATTGTTCTTGAGATTTAACTACGCGCTTCAGTGTGAAGAGGCGTGTTGGTGAGAGCAGCTAACGCTTTGATGTGTGAGTACAGATGATTACCCGGCGAAACACATCTAATTTTTAATGTTTGCTTATTTTTTTAATAGAGCTGGTTTCAGTTCACGCTGTTTAGGTGACGTTAGTTTAATGGCCTCGGCGCAGCTCTGTTGGTAGCATTACCGAGTAGCCAGGATGTGCTGGAGCTCGGGTGAACCGAGAGCTGCAGGGGCAGGAAGGCTGGATGGTGTGAGGGCTTGGCAGGGTGGTGTGGGGAGTCTCTTGTCTCTGCAGTGAGTGACTGGGTGCTGGCAAATTGAGTGTCCAAACTGACCGGTGAGCACAGGGGTGCTCCTTCTCCTTGCTCCCAGGGACTGTGCTGGCCGTGGCTGCAGAGTTGCCCGTGGCTACCTGGCCCTAAACCCAGCTAGGCAATATCAAATTGTTTTAGTTCTTTGCCTCGTACGGGTGCTGCTTTCCACTGAGCTCTGATTCTCTGGGGCTCACCAACGAAAACTCAACTTTTCCTTCTCTTTTTGAAAAAAGTGAGAGGCATACGTAGGAAAACAAGCGTTGACCATGTTCTGCAGACAAAGGCTGAACTGGGAAGTTGCTCCTGGGAGCCTTCAGATGGAGAGCAGCTGGGGTGAGAGGTGGCCATAAGTTCAGTCTTCTCCTCTGTTCCTGTGGCCAAGCAGCCAGTCTCCATCACTTTTTTGCCACCTACTTCATCTGCCTTGTAATGTCCTGGAGAGGTCTGCCTGGAGTTGTGGTAGGCAGGGACTCAGCAGCTCTGGGGATTGAGGGCTGGTGTGAGGAGGCACCACAGGTCTTGCCAGTTCTGTTATTTGTGGCTCTGACTGGATGCTGCAGCAGTGCAAGGCATCAAGGAAGCTTCCAGGCTGAAGAAAACACGCACAGTCTCTGTACCCTGCAGCCAGGAAAGACAGAGCAAAGAACTCAGCATAAGTAGAAAAAAAAATAAAAATAGAAGTTACTGTATTGTCTGACTTTTTTGTTGTTGTTGTTTTCCTTTCCCTCCTAACAACAAAATGTTTGAGTGTTTCTGTATTGGTTACTAATATGTGTGATGGGGTTTCCGTGCTGATTACATTTGAAAGCAAATTGCACCACTTCAAAAAGCGCCAGCAGCCCAATTCCAAATGGAGTTCCTGCTCCGCGGTCCTGACAGGGCCTTGTTCTGACAGGCTGTCAGTGTGGGAAAGATGGCCCAGCTGTCTGCCCGACAGTATTGAAAAGGCCCAAACAGTCTGTTTAAGAAATTATCCAACAAAGAGATACCAAAATTCAATGGGTTTTGGTTTGTGTTTTTTTTTTTCCACCTACTTTCTGCTGAAGGATTTGAAATTTGACAGGGCGCTGTAGGAGATGCAGTGTAAAGTGGCTTAGAAAGTTGGTCATTAAGCAGAGCTGTCATTGCAAATTATATTTGTCCAGGGTGAGAAGTTCTAGCTCATTTGGTGCCCAGACAGGTCTAGGCCTTAGGCAAGTTGTTACAGTTCCCTCATGCTGCTAAATGGACCCCAGGCGCTAATTTTCCTCTCTCTGTGCAGTTGGAGTCACCTGGGAGCCCCTCTGGGCCGGAGCTGCCCATAGAGACTCTGCTGGATGACCGGGAGCGGAGGATTTCCCACTCCCTCTATGGCGGGATCGAGGGCCTCAGTGAGTCGCCCACAAGGAACGTGGCACTGAGTAGGATAATGGGTGAGTCAAATCAGCTCTGCTAATCGGGGCGTGTTTTTATTCCTGTCTCTGATTCATTGAAGGGGGATTAATGTGTTATGTGGGAATTGGGTAACATGGAGGTTGCACCATCCAACTTAAAACCTGCCTTAAGATTGTTGCATGCAGGTAGTTAATGTGAGAAAGTAAGTTAAATTGAATTATAAAGTGACTTTTTTCTCCTGTAGCAGGTAATAGAACAAGTAACAGGAGCATTTAACGTGCTTTTTCAGTGAGGACAATAAATTATCTGTTGGTCTAGTCTCCATGTTGAGTTTTCATTGTCATGAAAGTTAGTGCCTCATGAGAATTTATAATTAATTTCAGTATTTCTTCTCATGTTTCTGATGTTTCAGTCATACTGAAGTAAAATAATAAGGCAGAATTGCAGCCTGTCGTGGTTTAACTCCGG